ATCTCTTGCAAGCTTATCCTTGTATGTTTTCTTGTGGTTAGACTACAATGATAATATTTGTTATGAGAGTAGGACATGACTAGGTAGAAAGTTGAGCCCGTTTTGGGAGCCATGCTGGTCGACGACAATGTTTGCTTGAGCTACCTTGGTGTAACTACTTTTTGTAGTTATTAACTTGACCGACAATCTAAGTTTATATTTTCTATTTAAGATTATTGTATATACATATATCTATATCTTATAGTTGCAATCCCATTAAGAGACTTACATTTATACTTTCAGTTGATAAAGTTTATATATATATATGTTTACATATTAACCTTAGGTAATTATATTTATGTTTTCTTTTGCTATAATTATTAGGTTGTAAAGTGTAGAGACTTGTCAAGTCGTTACACATTAATGAATTAAATCCAATTCAAATATCTATGATCTCATTCCATATATCATCAATTGGCTAGGTTTAGTCTAGTTTACGAATAAACAAAATTATAAAAAATTAAATCAAATTTATATATAGCGATGCATTTTATAAGTTTGAAGTTATATATAAGTTCAAGTAAAATAAATTTTGACATTAAGAAAAAAGAGAGATAAGATCAAATACTTAGTTACCTTTTATTTCAAGCTTGTTGACCACATAATTGTGTTGGGATCAAGAAGTGTCTAGTGGTGGAGTCAAAGTTTAACCATGTAGTCGTGGGTTACAATTGTAGTGGCCACTAGAAGAGCTTTCCTAAGATTCACAATAAGTGTCAAAATGTTTCGAGATGGAATTTATTCGGAAAAGACTTAGCAATTATCTTAGTTTAAAACATTTAATAAATGTAAAATCTGATTTTCTCTTAGACTTAGAAGTTCCTATGTATACATTAAGGTGATATTATGAATGTGAATTATTTATTTCTTCTCATGGTCTCATAAATTTTGGTGTATTATTATTATTATTATTATTAATAGACATGTAAATCTTAATACTTATAATTATTATCATATTTATTTCATAAATTATGACATCTTATCTTAATTACTTGAAAAAGAATGGTTCAAAAATAAATCAAGTCTTATTATAAGATATATTTAATAAATCAATCAACCATCAATCAAAGGATGTACTCAATTTACTGGATGAGTGAGAAATCAATATGAATGAGTGAGAAATCAATATAGTACAACTATTATTAAAATACACTAATACCTAAGTAGTAGCTGTATTTAACATTTAAGTCTAGAAAAGCAATCATCATAATTGTTTAACTTTATTTAATAACCCCACACCCTCACTTGAACGATTCTCGTCGGCCATGATTGATGACATGAACTTTTGATTAACATATGATTTTATTAAGCAGTGAATAGAAATGAATTATTATACTTTTCACAATCCACAGTGTGGCGTCTCTTGGCAATGCCAAAAGGACACAGTGCCTCTAACGAGTCTAATCCAAAACACACCCTTCTACATAGTAACAAGGTTTTGACGTTTTAGCTTTTTCTTCCTCTGGATGATCAGATTTACGTTTTAGCTCTAAAAAATTAAAATCAGGTTAAAATATTTGGTTACAATCTAAATGTTTCGTCTTTCATTGCGGAATTATATAATATTTACATATATCATGCAAGAGAATTTTAAAGTATTTTATTTTAGAATAATTTGTTTTGTATTTTGTGTATTAAAATGTGCAGAAGGACCTTTTTATAACCGTTTTCTAAATATAGATTTACTGCATTTTTTATCAATAAAAAATAGACAATAGTAAAATTTAAACCTATAAAATCTTACATATTTTATCACAATTTTTACTATTACGCCGACTCTAGCTAGTAATTCTTTTATTGCATATTTAGTTTTACAATGGATTCTCTATAAGTACATTAAAATATCATTTAGTATACTTTTAAGGTAAATTTTCATATGTTTGGTTCTACGTTGAGGAAATGATTATGCATCTAAAATTGATTTTGAATTATTGTAAGGTTAAACCTTAGAATAATTCTTGAATAAGGAACAAATAAAATGTGTAAGTTATTGTAAATTTTAGTATCGAGTTTATTTTTTATAAATAAAAAACAATAACATTTTATATTATTAAGATTAATTTTACTCCAATGAATTTTTTTAGTTTTTTTTCTCTCAGTTATAAAATTTAATATATTTTCTTTCTTGTAATAATCATGTTATTGACTTAAAGTATTCACCACCATTTTATCAATAAATAATTTTTATAAAAAATCTTACCATACATATACAATTTATTACGTATTAATATGGAAAAGACATTTTGTACTTACGCTGTATTAAAAGAAAAAAAGTTATTTTTGTGAACAATTATTGCAATTTTAAGATACAAAAAATATATAAAAATAAAAATAAAAAATAGTTATTAGGAGGATATTTGGGTTTAGATAAGTAAGATTTCTCTACTAAAACGTGAATGTTAATTTTTATGGTTGAAAGTTGAAACCTGAAAGTGACGATTGAAGTGGCAAGAATTGTTTATGAGAATCCAAGGCTCACAGTCACAGCAGTACACAAATTGCGGGCCATCGTTATCCCCAATTCAGTTTTTTTTGTGTGAAAATTTACATCGTTTTTTTGGTGAAATCCCCAATTTGATGTTATGAGTTATGACATTGAATGTTTTTCTGTCTCGTATATATTGTTTGTCCTTTAAGCTAATAATATATTTTTAAAAAACAATAATTGTATAAATTGCAATTGCAAAGCGTGAAAGCACTTAAATGAAAGTGGGCCAGGCCTACCTTTATGTGGAAAATGGAAAATCACATTGGCATGAGTTGCTGGTGGTAGGTCATTATAGAAACAGGACCCACTTCAATAATTTAAACCTTCACGATCCATTTTTATGTGGCGCAAAGTAAAGGTAAAACAAAAGTTAGCCCAAACGAGAAAACAAATAGCCAAATTTTTGTCTACTTATTTCAATGAATGGAAGGGAGTAAGAAAATACATAAATTGTATAAAATAGTATTCTTAAACTAATTAAAATAAATCAAATCCATTTTTTTTTATTTCACTATTTTTTTCTTGAACATTTTGAGTCTCATTTTTCATATATTGTTAATGTGAAATTTTTACATTATCAATTGTTAGGATACAAACAAGTCCTACATCGATAAAATAAAAAATAAGAAATAACAACTTATATAACATAAACATACTTTAATGATTGAGAGGCCTTTTGAGTAATGACCAAAAGCAAAACCATGACCGTGAGGGCTAAGACCCAAAGCGAACAATATTTCACCATTGTGGAGTATGTTTGTGTAATAACCCTATAAAATAAAATAACACAACAAATAACAACTTATATAATACAAACATACTTTAATGAATGAAAGGCCTTTTAGGTGATGACCAAAAGCAAAACTGTGAGGGCTTAGGCCCAAAGCGAACAATATCTCATCATTGTGAAGTATGCTTGTGGAATAACCTTATAAAAATAACCCCCCTCAGACAAATACCATAAAAAATCCCATGAGTAGTATCAGAGCCGCAGGTTAAATTCGGTGACAACCAATAACCCCCCTCATAACTCATAACATATAATGTGTTATATAAAGACAGATTCTGCTGCATGAAAGGTTAGGTCCCTTGTTTGAGGGAAGGATTGTTGGGATACAAACAAGTCCCACTTCGATAAAATAAAAAACAAGAAATAACAACTTATATAACATAAACATACTTTAATGATTGGGAAGCCTTTTGGGTAATGACCAAAAGTAAAACCGTGAGGGCTAAGGCCCAAAGCGGACAATATCTCATCATTGTGGAGTATGTTTGTGTAATAACTTTATAAAAACAACCCTCATAAACTACTCTCAGACAAATACCATAAAATAACCCCATCAGTGGTATCAGAGCCGCAGGTTGGATTCGGTGATAACCAATAACCCTATAACCCCTCATAACTCATAACATATAATGTGTTATATAAAGACAGATTCCGCTACATGAAAGGTTAGGTCCCTTATTTGTGAGAAGGATTGTTGGGATACAAACAAGTCCCACATCGATTAAATAAGATAAGAAATAATAACTTATATAGCATAAACATACTTCAATGATTGAGAGACCTTTTGGGTAATGACCAAAAAACAAAACCGTGAGGGCTAAGGTCCAAAACGGACAATATCTCATCATTGTGGAGTATGTTTGTGCAATAACCTTATAAAAATAATCACCCTCATAAAAATAACCCTCTCAAACAAATACGATAAAATAACCTCATCATCAAATTAGAAATCATTATAAGTATAAGTTTTATAATAGTTAGTATCAAAGTTAACCAACTTATAATACATGATAATTTATGATTGGATGACAATCTAAAAAAAGATAAATACATTGTAAATGTAATCTAAAAAATATTTATTATTTATATTATAAAATTAACTAATTTTTTAAGAAACTAATTTTTTTTAAAAAATGGCCTAAAAAAATACTTCCCCCCAATTTCATGTTTTGGGAGTGAAACTTTTTCTGATAGGTACTATAAAAAAAAAATCTTATTTTCTATCTCTCTTCTCAAATAAATAACAAAAAATTAATATTTTCTGATTTTCCTCATTTCTATTTTCTTTAGTATGTTTTGTTTGTTTCGATTGAGACAATTTAACACCACAAAATAGTCATCGATTCACATGCACACCAACTTAAAGGCTAATAAAAATGAAAAGATAACTATTTTTTTTATACTGCCAATATGATAATCAAAAAGAGAAAGATCATATTTATGCTCCAAACTTGTCAGTTTCCCTGACTTCCCACTTTAAATAATAATTAACAAAGGAGAAAGATTACATAACAGTCTCAGCTTCTAACATAACATATGGCTTCTTTACGTTAACAAACCAATGTTACAAATGCTTATATAAAAGTCAAGATGGCCGAGTTGGTCTAAGGCGCCAGTTTCAGGTACTGGTCCGAAAGGGCATGGGTTCGAATCCCATTCTTGACAGTTGTTTTATTTTATTTTACACAACTATATTTTCTATCTTTCTTGGGTTCATATTTTTGTCACTAACAATACTGATAATTTAAAGTTGGATACTCCCTCTTTACCTCTTACTCATATCTTTTTTATTCAAGCTCTAAATGAATGAATCTCTGGGGTTGAATGAGAATATAATGAAGCGATAAGGTTTGGTTTAAGTATGAAGTGTAACCCCTGGTGTAGTGGTGTCTATTGATTCTATCTCGTGTGTGTAGGGGTAAAATGGTTAAATAGATTTTGTGTGGTATTGGATGGTTAAAAGTAGCATGTGGCTTTGGTCTTCCTTGTGTGCTTTTCTCATAGATGTAGAAATTAATTGCGTGGTGAAAACCAGGAAGATGATATTGTTCGCTGTTTATAATTAGAAAATGATTTGAGTTTTACTCTATTTTGGATTAAAATTTGTTTACCCTCGAGAAAAATGTCATGGTAACAATCACTATTCCTTTTTATAAATGCAGTTATATAGTCGTTTGAAATTGTTGAGGATGAGCATTGACGCAATGATAAGGTTAGTGACTTGTGACCTTGAGTTCATGAGCTCATATCCTGGAAACAACTTCTCTGATTGGTGGGAGCCTTGTGCATAAATTATGGTCATATCAATATTTTCTGTTTTTTTAACTTTCCAAATTTTCACTTCTCTTCCAATGATTTTTGGAACAATTTTAAAAAACCTATAGCTATTTTTATCCTCCCACTTTTCCCTCCTAACAAAGAGTATTGAGAAACATTTTATTTATTTCTCTTGATTTGTCTTCGGGGTTTAGTACGTGGATCATGGTTATCAAATTTATGAGCCAATATTGGTCCTCTCACTTTTCCCAACCAGTAAAGAGGAATGAGCAACATTTTATTCATTACTCTTACTTTTTTTTCATCAAGGTTTTAGAGCAACTCAAATGGAAGTTGCTTGTCCCATGAAACAGCTCAAGTCTCAGTTTCTTATCATTGGAGGACTCTAACGTGGCAACATGAGTTGCTTAAAGAAGAGAGAGAGTTGTTTCCTCAAGCAACCGTTCCTTACCAAATTTCAAGCAAATCTTATTGAACATATTTGAGAACGTTTCGAAAATAATAATGATGAAAATTAATTTCGTATAATGTCTATGTATTTATTATTATTTTATTTTATTTTTAATATCTACTTATTGTATATTTTTTTCTCGTAATTTATTTTCTTTCATTGTAGTGCAATTATCCTTTCATTTTTCAATGCATGAAGCAACTCAAATGAGTTACTTCCATCGGAGATGCTCTTAGTATATGGATCAATGTACTTGATATTGAAGGTTTATCAAAATCGATAAAAATAATTAAATTAGTTAATTTAATCCAAAATATCCATTGAGTTAAATAGCTTATTTGGTAGTTATATTTAATGATTACTTATAATTCAACAAATAATTATTTTCCACTAATAAATACGGTAGGTTTTTAAATGCCAAAATTAGTAGAAATAAAAAAATCTCTACAAAATTTAACTTAAACCAAATGGTATTAACTTGTATGGGTACTGGAATGTCATTCACACATTCACCAAGTGATGTCATGCTTTTACTTTCAGTTGGACAAAATTGCTGAGGTACTGGTGTATGTATATGTAGCACTTCGTTTAATAGTCATTGATCCTGCCCATTTTTATGCACCTATTTTCAAGTTGTGTCCATTATTTGCTTAACTTTTTTATGTGCTTGTTGTGTTTGTTTCACTTTAGTGAACTATTTGGTGTCCAAGCTGTTAAAGGAAGACAGGTTTTTGTTAATGGAATCATATTTGTGTGTAGCATTTATGTTGGGTTATAACATTTGTAAGTTGCTTTTGGAATTGGATTTTGACAGCTTCAAGTGAAAGTATTCAGTGGTATCAGTCATTAATTGATGAAATAAAGTGTGAAACAGTTGGAGAGTAGCAAAAGATTCTTTCTATAATTGGTACGAGCAGTTGTGCAAGTACGAAACTTGGGTACAACGCAATACGTGATGATTATGTAGTTTTTATCAAAATTGAAGTTTTATTTTGATAATATACGTAACATGATTAGAAAATAATACTAATTACAATTATGGTGCTGCAAGTAATTTTTATCCGTTGTGCAGCATCTTTTGTTTTTTATTTGTATTTTAATTGTTTAGACGTGATTGGTTGAAAAAACATGTCTGGAAGAGTGAATAAATGTTAGTGGGGAGTAACGTAATTGGAAACACAGTATTTGAGACTAATGAAAGTTTTCTCTTACATATGATATGGTGCTTATTTGAATGATATCTAATATGGTTCCTTAGTAGAAGTAAGAATGGGAGATAAACATAGAATTAGAAGATTGCATATGTGATATATCTAGACGTGTGCTTTGTCTGATTATATCTAATCAAATCTCAATTCCCCTTCATCCCTTCCAATTTTTCACCCTTATCAAGCATACTTTAAAATTTAAAAACATTGGCTTAATTTAGCCCTTGTAATAAGATAATTTAATTTTGAATTTTGATAGAGTAGTGATTCATTTAGGATCTCAATATATTGGATACATTTTAACTTACATTTTAACGTAAAATATTGAACGTGTAAACTTATTTTTGCTATTTTCATAATTTGTTAACTAACTGCCCTACTTCTATGTAATTATAATTTAGTGTTACAGAAGCGTGTGCTATGTTCTTTAGCTAATTAGCTTGTACCCAACCAGATCTCATTTTCTGAAGTCATTAGGTACACCAGTGAAGATAATGATGCAGACTCGTGTAGTGAAGAATGCTGTGATAATTAATATCGAAAAAGGACCTAACGGTTTATAGCAAAGGGAAATAGTCAAATATCTAAACAGGTGGCGTGTCGTTGCAAATGAACACGCTACTTATACATGAAAAACGCAGTAGAACGCAAGGTTTTTCTTGTGATGACAGTGGAACTCAATACTCAAATCTGCTTTTTGAGTATTTGGAACAAGATCCTTCTTATAGTCGTGAACATTAGTTGACACGGCAACTGATCATTGGTTATTGAGTGGCTTATTTAGCCATAACCTGACCAGTTTCTCATACTTTAAAATATTGACAGATACAAGATCTTGCACGCCACTATCCTGCCGTAACTTGTGATTTACTGCCAGTAAGTTGGATGTCCGAGGCATTATGATCTAATGGTTAACATAATCTAATGTTATAACACTGACCATTTTGTCAGTTAACATTTTAATCTCATGTTCTATATATCGAGTACCCACAGCATTTACTTTTAAGAGATTTAGATGAGTGCCTTATAACATACCACACACTCCACACACCCTTGACAGGTAATCATGGAACTTCAAGCCTGTATTTGATCTTCAGTGGCATCTTAGACTTGTTTTATACAGCACTCATCTTGGCTTTATATTGTTAAATTAAATGTACCCAAGCATTTTGAGATTATTTCCTTTTTGATAAAGCAATATTTTTGTCCTCCGAAGGTACAAGTATCAATCCCTTAACAATTCAGAGTTTCATTTAGTCCTCCATTTTTTTAACATAATTTAGTCTCTAATAATGCAAAATGTTATCCCCTTAATTAGGACTCCATTATTTTCATTAAGGGAGCAAAATGATGACATTATTTTCTAGGAATAAATTGACCACGACAAGAATATGCGCTTACTCTACGTTTTCACCTTTAATATCTGTCAAAAACAAAATATTCACAAAAACAAATAAATCCATCCTTTTGTCAACTAATATGAAAGATGGGCTTCTGCTCCGGTAGCATGTATTCAATGAACGACATATCCTCCTCCTAGTGTTTCCCCTTTTCATGAAAACTTTCTAACTGTCAATGAATCTTTCTCTTCTTATTCCCCCTATTTATTTAAGTGATAAATTAACTGCTTGCTGTAACTATCCCTAACAACTTTTCCCTTTCCATTTCGTCCTAAAGTATACGCATGTTTTACAAATGAAATAAGCAGTCCAAATTTAAGACAGATGACATGTTATTGGTTACTTTAACAAAGTATGGGCTGGGGTAGCAGAGAAAGAGAGATTGATTATTAATCATAATTCTGTCTTATAAAAGAATAAGGTGGATATTCTCTCTCTTTTTTAGTGAGAAAGATGCTAGAATTGGACAATGTAAATGTGGTTATGATATAAAATGTTGAAATTCCTTGCTTCGGTTTTAGGTCATCCAGCCTTTTCTATGATCAATGTTACACCACAAAAAAGTAACATTTGAGTCAACTAGCATACAATATCTGATAGAAGCAAAAAATTATCAGTGATCCACGCACTAAATACAAAATATATGACTAAGAGGTCAGCCCTGGGCATATGTCTCCTACCGTTGTGGGTCTAGGAAGGATCAGATGTATGCAGCCTTACCCTAAGCAGAGAGGTTATTTACGCAACTGGAACCCATGATAGGACTCGAAAATACAAAAAATAAAAAATAAAATAAAGTTAATAATCATGAAAGAAACTAAAATCTGGGACCAATGACAAATTATGGCAGGTGAATGTTCAAAAATTCATACATCAGACCTGAAAACCTCAAGCAGGAACCTGATTAGATTCTCGCAACCTCAGGGACTTGGCATGCAGCCTCTCCATGAAAGCTGGATTGGCTCGGAGCCTCTCCTTTACATATGAGGACCGCGCATCATCTACTAGTTTATTGGCTTTCCCTGCCTCCTCAATGAGAGAAAGAAGTGTCCTTAAGCAGTCCTTCCTGTTTTCTTCCCGATGTTCAAACCTTCAAAATATGGAATAGAAGATTTTAAACACAAATATGGCTGCCTCAAGTAATGGTCCACCCCCAAGTGCAACTAGATTGAATAATAAAGGAATGAATTTTTATGAGGATAAAACTTTACCTCTCACTAGTTATTGTAAGCTCATCTCTCCCTGGATGATAACGTTTTCCAACCAATTCTCTGAGTCGGCGAAATTGGTATTTTGAAAGCCCAAGCTCCTTCACAGTAACAGACAGTTTCACTTTCCTGTTTTTCGGATGCCAAGCATCACCACCAGGAGCAAAGACTACACGAGTTTGCCACCGCAGAATTGGACCTTCACCCGGTGGGTCATCTAAATCTTTTTTCTTATCGGGCACAGCAATATCACCAAACTGTGGGACCTCCTCTTTTTCCATTATCTTCATGTATTCCGCTACCATCTCATCCTCAAACTTCTTAAACTGTTCATAGGCTTCTTCAGGTTCAAGTTCCCCTCTTTCACACATGTCTCCTAGCTCATTAAATTTTATTTCCACCTTTTGTTTTATCTCATCTATCACAAGACATTAAACCAAAGAAAATCAGCAGAATTAGCACATCACTTAAACCACTTCTAAAGCTGCAACTACTACACTAAAATTCAAACATGCACAGAGAATCAGATCAATTGCAAACAGAAATTCATGGTCATGAAATTTCTTCTGGGACTTCCAAAAAAATTTCAAGCACATAGCAAAACATGATCTAGCATCATCTATAAATTGATAAAAAGTGGATTGTCAAGCCAAGAAGAGAGTAACAATTAACATACAAAAAACATGAAAAAATTTATCCAAACAGGCTTTAATAACGCACCAACTAAACACCCAGCTTAATTATAACAACATTTAAGTGCTAAATGATTATGAAGAAACATAACATATTATGGGCCTATTTGAACAAACTTCTCCAAAAACACTTCTAGGAGAGAAAAATAGGAAGAAAAATAAAATAAGCTTCTCTATATGCTAAAATTAGCTTATGCGTAAGGTAATTAATTATAAGCTAATTTGTAAAAACTATCTCCAATTAGTTTCTCCATAATCTTATTTTGAACTTATGTATAAGCTAAAGAAAACTTATTTCAATTCTCCTTCCTATTTTTTTCCTCCTATATTTGGAGAAGTTTATCCAAACAAACTCTAACTTATGCATAACATTCCTATTTCCATACTGCCAAAATCCCATACATAGGTCTCTGCATTATTGATAACTGCAAACAGTTTTCCTGTATATTTTTCATTTACACTTTCCCTAGGCACAATTAAGCATCGTCTGTGAGTGTTGGCGACAATAATGGAATCTGGAATCACGAGAAGCATAATCAGAGATTGACAGCGGGAATGAATTTAGGACAATTGATAGATAAAAATATAAATGCAGTTAAAACAGCGGTAATCTATAGTAATAGAAACTTGAAATGTAAGTAGAATAGAATGGAGAAAGGGTGTACCAGGGAGGAGTTTGTCCCAGCTGAGCATATCCTGAAGAATCTCCTCGCACTCCTTGGTGTCCCTGAGATAACCGTGCTTGATGCTGTCCTCAACAATGTCATCCCATTTCTTATCGTCCATGTTGAAGTACTCGTCCTGCACCATCCGCTTCATGACCACGTCCCTTGCGTTGTACAAATCGTCGATCTCCTCGTCGGTGTCGTGGAGGTCCTCGAAATCGGACTCGAAGTCCCTGTCGTCGACGTCGTCGATGGGGCCCATGCGGAGCTCATCCATCAGCTCGTCGTCGGTCTCCTCGTGCTTCCCCGACAGCTTCCGCTGCAGAATCGCCTCCATTATCGACGGCAGCACTTGCTCGTCGCCCTTCAGGTAGCTCTCGATGCGCGTTTTCAGCTCTGCCAAGGGAAATTGAACGCGGATGAATGAATTGGAACGTTGCGATGTGAAGAAAGAGAGAGAGAAAGAGAGAGATACCTTTGTTGTTGATGTCTTCGGGGGGTTTGGGAACGGGTGGCGGATTTTGATCGGAGGAGAAGAGCCTGGGTGGTGGACGAGTTGAAGCGGCGGGGGCAGAGTGAAGAAGGTTACGAGTGTACAGAGTGACACTTCTCAGCAGACTGCGTCTCATGGTTCTCTCTCTTTCTCGCTCTAGGGTTTCAACTCATTCTTCCCCTCACATACCCCCTTTTCTGTTTACTTCTCTCTTCTTTTTTCTTTTTTTTTCGGACAAAATCGAAATTTTTACTTAAATAATATTTTTTTTAAAAAAAATTCCATGGTAGGGGGTTGTGAGTTGTTGTTGTTGCCGCCTCTCGCCATGGTAAAGTGTAGGTCTTTCTATATGACTTGGGGCGTAGGAAGAGTTTCACCGTAGCCCCACGGTGGGATGAGTTACAGGCCAGGATAGAAGCCAACACCAGAACGTTGGAGGAGGATGTCATGTAGGAAGTCCCAAGGGATTTTCAGCCTTTCTCGGAGGCCATAGAGGCCGAGGCCATCCCTAGGCCAAACTAGTCGGTTATTTACCGAGACAGTACAGTTTGTAATTCCAAAATTTGGTATTCTTATTAATTCGTATGGGAAACCCTAAGGGAATACATTGGTAGTTGTATGAGAAGATTGTTTAAAGATATAGTTGGATGAGTAAATTGTACTATTTTAATGTTTATCTCATGATTTAGAATACTTTTACCAATTGTATGAAAAGATTGATGATTGGGATGCAAATAAAAAATCACATATTTAAGAGTTTTTTATCACAAAAATCATGTTGAGCCCCATTTTTGGTGTTGAGCGTCAAGGTGGCAGAGAGATAGTAGTGTTGTTTGTGACCCTCAAGCTGAGCGTGAGCTTCACATTGAGTGTGGCCCATGCTAAGCGTGAATTTCATGCTGAGTGTGGCTCAACCAAAGAGTCAGGGTTACTCTATGGAAGTCTTATGTTGAGCACCTAGTTTGGGGTTGTGCGCCAGTTGTCCTGTTGTGCTTCCTTCCTTCTCTGTTTGATAAATTCTATTGGTGTAATGTGAATCTTATGATACTTCTCTTGTGTGATCTATGATTGGCAGTGATGTGAGTTTCTTGTATTCTTCAATGTTATCCTTTAAAGAATACAATTGATGGTTATATGATATGAGATAGATTGATATGGTTGAAACGACATGATGAGGTTATATTATAAGGAGACATGATAATGTGATATGATAATGCGTATAATCTTGATTTACATGCATCATTTGCATAAATATTTTTAAGGGTACGAGTGTTATTCAATGTTGTCCTTTAAAGAATACAATTGATGGTTATATGATATGAGATAGATTGATATAGTTGAAACAACATGATGAGGTTATATGATAAAGAGACATGATAATGCATATAGTCTTGATTTACATGCATCATCTGCATAAATGTTTTTAAGGGTACGATGTGGAATACATCGTCAAGGAAGGTCCCCTTGTGTAAAAGCTTGAGGATCAGTCCTTGGGGATAGCTCGATTTGTAAGTCACAATCTTGCCCATTGTGTGCATGAGATGTATCTTGTGCGACTTAGCTATCCTGACTAGACCCTAATAGTATGTCCTTAGTGAGAGTGCATAGAGAGTGTGACCCAGCATGTACTCCTAGACTACTCTATGCGTGTTTCTAGCGGCAATGCACCACATGATGTTTTACTAGCACCACATGATGTTTTACTAGCACCACATGCATGATAATATGTAGTTTGTGTCCATTACATGTGCATTTTTATGTTATAAGTTAATTAATTTTTATGTCATGGATGAGTGAAGTGTGATATTTTTATTAACTTGTTTATGTTATGTATATATACATATCTTGTTTTTTTATTTGGCCATCTGGTGTGCATTCCTACACCATGAGCTAGAGTGAGATATTTCTTACTCCATTTTTCTTTTGTGTTGTTTTCCCTTAATTGTTATACAGGTGATCATCAACATGAGGCTGAGGATGTTGGTGATAAATCTTAGGCTTCAGTGTTGGGCTTTGCTCTAATATGACATGTGACATCGGGAGGTAAATAAGATTAGATTAGGATGTTGTTTATATTAATTTATTTTGAAAACCTTTGTTTTATTTCTTTTGTAATTTTCATTAATTATGCTATTTTGTTCAACTTTACGAATGTGGTGTTCTCTATTCGAACATATTTGATATTTAATTATGAAGGATTATGTTATCCAAATTTTATTATTTATCTATTATGGTATACAAGGTAGAGGGTGTCACATCCGTAATCTTGGAGTAAATTGATTTCATTTTACCAAAAAGTCCTTGGTTTGATTGTTAAAGTGAATGCAAGCATAACAAGCTTATAGACAGTCACTTTCAGAAAACATTGTGTCGCAAATAGGGGTGGCAAAATGGGCTAGCCCGGGAATGAGACTCTTATGTGGTGCTAGGCGAGATTGTCTTTCGGCTTGGCGGTAGATGGGCCTGCATTTGTCCCAACACCCCCTGTAGCCCTTAGCTTCCGAGAAGTTACTCGGTTTAGGGTGCTCCGCGGTTCTCGTTCAACGAGAAGGTACTCGGCCTACGGCCGGGACGGTCCATATATATATATATATAATGAGCTAAAGCAAGAAAGAAAAAGATAGGTTGAGACTCCATGGAAGGTTCTCAACCAGCACCCCAAAGGTCTTGTCACACGGGAAGGAAAAGAATAAAATGATTGATACAAATTCCTATGTCTAAAATTTCTCTTTTTCGAAGTATCATTCATTAAACTCGTGTTAATTAAGTGTGAAACTAGCGAAAATAAAGTTGCTCTCAAGTATGGTTAAGCTAAGCGTGAGATGCGAGGCGCTAAGTGCGAACCATATAGAAACATGTTCTTCCACAGTTTTTATCTTTAGGACATGCCACGCTGAACACTAAAATCTTCTTGCTAAGAGCTAACACACGTTACCTCCATTTAGGCTAAAAATTACATTTGCTTCTATTCCTCAAATCCTGCAAAAACAAGATAATTGTATTAAAAATATAGAAGACTAGAGAAAGCATAACTACATCTGTATAAATGTAATAATAATAATAATAAATAAATAAATAAAGACTAAAAAATAACATCTTAAACTTGAGAAACTAAAATAAGTTTCTCAAAATTTAACTAATGACCAGATAAAATTGACATTTATTATTTTTCATAATGGTGAGATATCCTTTAAGTTTGAAATGAGATAACTCTTTGGATTTTTAGGACAATGTATCCTTGATGGACTAGGATTGTTTAAGGTGAGGTGTTCATAATTGTAATGATCCAAATTGTTATAAGATTTTGACAATTATAATGATAGAAAATATCAAATTATGCTTGAAGACTAGATGCAAGTCATGAATTGTTAATTATCAAAACAAAATCTTGTTCTTTTATTTTTTTAACAATTCTGATTTTATTGCTGTAAAAAAAAAAAAATTCTGGCCTTATTAATGAAATGGAAAATGGAAAACTTTGGCTTTCACATTCTAATTTTTACGTAATCCCATTGTCGCATTTTAAATTATTTTTATAAAGTAGAAGTTTTATAACAATAAGGTAATTAATTGTCTGAATTTTGATTCTCATTATTTAAAGTAAAAAAGTATAAGAAAAAATAGTGCATATACTACGTAGTAAAAAGTGTTTTTATATCGTCAAGCAACCCTAAGTTTACATGTTAAAGATTAATTTTGTTCACAAAACAATTATTTCTATAATTATATACATATGATTTGACCTATCGTATGTTTCATGTTTGTTCCGTTAATACTGATAGAAATGAAATTATCCGATATCATGCAACGAATTGCTAAAACTTATGAAAAAAATGTCATTCATTTGGTGAGAAATAAAACAAGGAATGTTGAAAATTTAAGTAATTAAGGTAGCTACTTTCAAAATAATAGAAAGACAAACAACTAGAGAGTCAATTCAAAAAGATGACTCATCATTTCTTTCTTACGTTCAAAATTGTATGAGACTTTCATATTGCACAACTCCCAAGTGATAAAAGAAGGATGATGAGTTATAAAAAAAAATTTAAAAATTAATACTTAGTTTGCATGGTATAAATGATTTTGTATTGGACATGAGATTTTTTATTAAATAAATTATTTATATAAAAATAAATAAATCATTCTTATAATGTACGTATGAGTGCATGATGTCTAACCAAACTAATCCATTAGATTTCATAACAACTAGTTTAAAAGTAATTTTTAATATGATTTTGATTTATAATTGATTAACAGTAAAACATGTTATATTATTGTGTATGGATTTTAAACTTCAAATAAGAATCTACTTGCAAATTTTAAAATTTTTTTTGAACATTTATAATAGCATGAAAAAATTGAACTCAATTTTTAAATAAAATTTTAAATTTGAACTTTGTTGAAAAAAGAAAAATGATTGAGAAGAAAAACTCGACTAATTAAATTTTTTCAAAAAAAAAGAAGTTATTATATAAAGAAAGTTTCACATTGAACAAAAAGATATATCAAATAACATATAAGAAAGTAAAAAAGACCTATAAATCTAATTCCTTCAAATTTTGAGTAACATCTATTTTAAAAATAATATGTTTATAACATAATATATGTCATAAAAAGTGCGTCCCTAGCATTTTTAAATTAAGGTATTGTACGATAACAGGATTCGTTTTTGGTTCATGATATATGCACCTCCTTTTTTTTATAAGTACACCTCCTTTAAAAAAATAATTAAAATTTAAAATATTCTTAATTTTTTAATTTTTAATTTTTAATTTTTAATTTTATATTTATAATATTTAATTTAGTACTTTTTTCACATATCTTTTCTCTTTTTTTTTAAATTTTTACATGCACTCTTTTACCTTTTTTCACTACACTTATTTTGGTAACATGTGAAAACTAAAAGAGAAAAAAAAAATATGTGAAAAAGAAAAAAAAAAGTAGTAAATTAAAAATTTGAGTTGTAAAATTAAAAAATTAAAAAAAAAATTATAATATTTAATAATTTTTAAAAAAAAAATAAAGGAAGTGTACTTATAAAAGAAAGGAGGTGTATATAACATGAGCCTTTGTTTTTGCACACGAACCTGGCTCCTTTTGGTAAGGACGAAAAGGCTTCCCTCCATATAAGGTTTGGACATCACGGGCCCAGCCCAAGTACTTACACGGCTAGAAGAAAATTTACAAAACTGCCATTGAGCTATGAATCTTGCTTTCGAGGTGTAGCATTTTTTCGTATGAAACAATTGAATTGAATTAATTTTTGTTCGGGCACTGAATTCGATCTTTGGTTGAAAAAATCAGTTATCAAAAATTAAATTAATTTAAGGTGAAACACTAGAACACTATTACGAAATAAATAAAAAATAAAAAAAAATTTGTGGCTGACACCTCATCTTAGCAAAATGATTTTGGTGGGACGATGAAAAATGAGAGATTACATAATTTGTGGGCATTCAATGCAATGTTAATTAAAGAATAAGAATTCAGTTAAGCCAAGCTCCGACGATGGTGACTCCTAACCTAATCTAACCTCACAATATCTACACTCTGCTTGGTTCACACTTGACACCACATAGATTGCAAAAAGAGTAACAGTAACTAAGTACCTAACTCACTAACCTCTCGCATTGGACGTTTCCCTTTTAGGTCCGTTTCTGCAGTAACGGAGGTTGTCACTGTAGCAGTGGTAGTAGTAGTAACGGTGGTATAATTATTGCTTGAATCGGAAGTGTGTGAATCGGAGGCACCGGAGGTACCTACTGTGGTGGAAGACAAAGCAGAGTGTCTGCGAGGCCTTCTGTATCTTGAACCAGGTACACCCGGTCTCGTAGGTTCTGACATGTGTCCTGGGCCTGGCTTCCTCGACAGCATTACCACCACGCGCCTCATTGTGGGACGTAGCTGTGGATCGCCTTGGGTGCATAGCAGACCTAGCTGAATGCACATTGCTACCTCCTCCGATACCATTCTACATTCTAACGTACAATCCACGATTTCTAGGCTCTTCCCTTTTTTGTACATCTTGTATGCCTGTGTAATGTATAAAAACGCATGTTTTTAATATTGTTTTATTTGCACCATTACATTACTTTAATTTAGCAACTATTTCTTTTTAATTCAATTAAAGGTTTAAGAATAAGGCAATTCGATTATGTAGGCATGATGTAATGGTGAAGTTAGGCTGGGTACTAAATACTAATTAAGGCTTCAAAAAGTAATGGAAATGTGAATGGGACATTTTTTTATACAAAAATACTAAAAGATATTGGGTGACTGTACTACCTAAGTCCTTTGATGAGAAATGAGTGAAGAGTATTACCCAATCAAGGAGATTCTGCGCGTCCACATCCAAATTGAAAGACGAGTTTCGTTGGCCGCTGATCAACTCCAATACCAAAACTCCATAACTAAATACGTCTGCCTTCACCGATAGGTTTCCATGCATAACATATTCCGGAGCCATGTACCCACTGTCCAATTCCCAACCATATTAATTAAAACTATACCAAACGCCCATAACTAGTCACAAAAATTGACTTATGCAAGGATGTATCCCAACTAATACGCAACCTTTTCATTCGCTGAATTCATATATGTACATGGTACGAAGACAAAAATTATAACCTTTTATTTAAAAATATTTACCATAGTAAAAACATAAAAAGCTATTTATAAATTTTTAAAAGAGGAATGATAGTATACTTTTAATAAATGCTGATTTTTTACAAATCAAAATTTCTGAATGATCATGCGCCCTAAATTTTAAATAATTAAAATATTTATAAATATGTAATAAACAATAAAAATTCACTTACATTTCAAAGAAAACACACATATCAAAATAAAATATTATCATAAAATAATTATATTTTATGAACTTTTTATAAACATTTTAAAACTAATAATTAAATTGATGTAATTTATAATTTGTAGAATATTGTTTAATGTGTTTCTTTATTTCTAACTGTACTATTGGTACCGCGAAGTCGAGCTTGAACTCGGCTTCACAACGCAGACTGACATCGGATACGCGTCACACGACATCGGCCAAGACAAAGGCCCATTACTTGAACAGGTCACAACTGATCTTAAGCCCAAGACCCAGAAAAACCCTAATTCACACTAAGGTACGTGCATTACTTATACGAGACCCATATACCCGCAAACACTAACTTTGGCATCAGAGTCTCTTTTGCAGGTATCACCCTTACTTTGGAACAGCGAACGTACCCAGCAAAGGAGACTCACCAATCTTGCTCAGCAGATCGTCCCTTACGACCGATCTCCGGTAAGAACACTAACAAAATACATTATGTGTCTTTTATAAAATAACTCAAATTTATCCACATTTTAGTCGCTCAATTTTTTACAATAACAATTCACTTTTAGTTTTAAATTATCAAAATCAACTTTCATTGTTGAAGAAAGAAAATTGTAAGAATAGTTTATTTTTAACTCCATTCATTCTTAGTGAAAAAAAAACTCCATTAATTCTTTATATCGGTTGATTAATGTTTTATTAAGATAAGTTTTTTTTAATCCTTTAGAAAGATTACACTTGCACAATAAGGATCAAACTTAGGTCATTTTATTTCCACCGCAACTCTTTTCTCTCGATCACTAGATTAACTCCAGTAGCTTAAGAGATAAGTTTTTCTGCAAGAGTATGTGAACTAAAAATTTTAGAGGAAGGAAATACTGCTCTAATTATTTACACACACCAAAGGGTTATTAAAATAAGTTTATATGCTATTTATTTTAAATATTTATTATCTTCCCGAATTAAAACATTAAGTTTTTAATTTATTAGTAATAGTTTTCTTTCATTCTCCTTTTCTATTTTTTCACGTTGAAGTAGTCGGCATATTGTTCACTTTTATGTTCCATTTTTTTCCCATGTTAAATTAAAAATATTTTTATTACTATTATTATTAAACCCAAAAACGTTAAAAAAAATCTTATAATTCTTTATTTTATTTTATTTATTTATTTTTGTTTAGTTAATGAATAGTGTTGACTTTTTATCATCATCCAAAACTACGTTAGTTGTATATATTTTTGTTAACTTTTATATTCTTAAATTACTAAAATCCTCTAAAAAGATAACTTGTTTTATAAGGAGAACACGAAGGGTAACAAGTGCAGTATATTAAATAATAAAGACAAATGCATAAAATAGTTCTTGATAAGTATCTTTAAGACAACTGTTATGAAACTTAAAAAAAAAAGTTAAGAATATTCCAATAGTGTGTGCGCATACGGAAAATTATTTTATTTTAATAGTGAAGAAGCAACTATTTATCTGGAAGTATATTGAAAATTTGATTGAAAAGTTTTGACAAAAAATATATAAAAAAAATAGATAAAAGCGTAGGCTTACTTGGTTCCCGCCACACGTGTATTGACCTGGCTCTGATCTTCGGGGAAGAGACGGGCCATGCCAAAATCTGCAATCTTGGGCGTCCATTTGTCATCAAGCAAGATGTTACTCGCCTTTATGTCGCGATGGATGATGCAATTGTGTGAGTCTTCGTGAAGATAAAGCAACCCCTTTGCCACGCCTGTGATTATGCCAAACCTACGTTTCCAATCAAGTTCTTCTCTCTTGTGTGATTCTGCATCCATTTCAACTTACTGTTATACAAAACAACAATTAATCTCTAACAAAACCAACCACAATTCTTCATTATTATATTTACTGGGGTATAAGTATGGTGATATAATAATTTATAGGACATGTATAGTGGAATTATGACAACAAATAAATCTAGAAAAGGAGAATTAAGGTTTAGGAAGTTTCCACTATCACTTCGTAGGGAGAACCTTTAAAGTTTGACTTCTAACTTCCAAGGCTGCCGTTTATTAATTGGGCATGTGCTTGATTGAAAAGAAAAAGAGAAGATGGTGAGGATGGTTCATCCAACACATGTCGTCATGGCTTTCATAAGATGGATAAGGGGAGTTTCATCGGGAACATTCTATTGATCTACGCAAGATATTCAACGAATAATTTTATGTACGTCAAAGTCAGGGTCTCCAGTGCAGTCTCTTTCAGAGCATCGGCTCCATCAGGAGACCTCATAAAAAATATAAGGTAAACATGGATAGGTGGCGGTCCATGCTGTTGCTAAAGGTTAAGCTAAAATTAAAAATTTATCGTCTTATAAACTATAATTTTATAAGATTGAAATACACATTCTAAGATGATCTCCCCTATCAAGTGGACATTGGACCGCCTACATATGTGTGTTGCAGATACCATATTGAATAATAATACGATTAAAATAGAGTATGTAAGAGAACGATAAAGCACATTCCAAGAATTATGAAAAAAAAAACTGCTTCTGATAGAGAAAAAGAAAACTTGTTTGACCATTAAATATTTAATCAGGAGGGAGGGTGCGCACGGAAAGTCCATGTTCCATCGTCAGCTAGACCAGATGAAATATGGGTTGAAGGGAAAACTCAATTCACATCATTCATGGTAAATAATATGGACTCGATAGTTATCTTGATTGAGACTGTAAAATTAAGATCATTTTCATTTCTTAGAAATAATGATAATCAATTCAAATACCAGCACGCCAAATCATTGATCTAAATTTTGTGCGGCAAGACTACAAAAAGCATGGTCTAAAAAAACCCTAGTTAAAATTAACGTTTTAGAAGATGAGATGGCTTTTATTGATTTCATGAATGATTTTGTTGAACAGAATAAAGGGTGGCATTAGAAATATAGAATAGAGGCACTTACTGAATAGAAGCTTGTCAAGGCTCTCATGAGCAACGTACTCATAAACAAGTAGTTTCTCGGTGCCATGGACACAATAGCCCACCAAATTGACCACATTCCGATGCTGCACACGAGCCAACAACTTGGCCTCATTCATGAACTCCTTCTTCCCTTGATTTGAAGTGTGTGATAGCTTCTTCACAGCAATCTCTCTCCCATCATTCAGCTTCCCCTGCAAGCAAACCCAAAACACAAATTCCACAAATCATAACAGGTCTTTGGTTCTCATTTTACCCCAACCATCAATTTGGGAAGAGAGAACTAGGTTTCAATTCATTTTGAGATAAAACATATACTTGAACCAATTGAAAAGCTTTCTAAATTTTCAAAGAAAGAGAAAATTGGGGATTGAATTTTGATTTTACCTTGTAAACAGGTCCAAAACCTCCCTCGCCTAGCTTATGAATAGCACTAAAGTTTTTTGTGGCAGCAGCCAAGGTTTCGTAGGCGAAGATCTTCTGCTCCTGTGCAGCCATTTTCTGTATATCAGCTTCATTGTCTCGCTCTGATAGAAAAACAACAGAGCAGAAACAAACAGAGTCCTAATATAATCAGACAAATCGTGTAAGCGAAAATTGAAGAAGAAAGAAAGGAAAAATACCTTTACTGGAACCGAATTTGAAGTGTTTGACGATACTGTGAAGAAAACTGTGACTATGAGACTTGTCCTTGTCCTTGTCCTTGTCCATGGCTATGGTTCTGGATCACAAGAACTGCCCATGAAAGAGGAATAAAAAAGAGGGAGTCTGGAAGCAAAGTTGTGATCTTTCTGGAAAAAAGGAGAATGGGTTGGTGGCGTTGGGAAATGAGATTGAGAGGTGCTAGCGTAAGAGAAGAAAATAGTCTTGTTGATACGGAGAGAGAGAGAGAACAAAACCAAAACAATCGAAGAGAAAAGCGTGTTGCGCTTGTTGACCCACTGACGCATCCTTGACTCGGCTCAACTATGCATTCATAATTGAGAAACTCTACGGAACCTTGCATTTTAGTGAGTTTTGGAACCTTTCCTATGTGGTATAATTTTAATGGTTAAGTAAGCCAAGTCACTTAAATTTTTAAAAATTGTAAAATAGTCTTAAGTGTTAGGTAAATTCTTGGATGGACCACTTATACAAGTAATGTATCATACACCCTATCACACAAGATTAAAGTTTTTGAATTTTTTATTAAAATAATTATTTTATAATAAAAAATTACAAAAAAAACACATGTCCCAATGTAATGACGTAACTGTTATTCAGGTTCGGAACGGGCCGTTCTAAAATAAGAATGGCCCGTTCCCGATAAAATAATAACACATGAAGAATGGATCAGAACGGGCCGTTCTGGACGAAAAAATAACACATGACGAATGAATCAGACCGGGCAGTTCCGAAATCAGAACGGCCCGTTCTGGTTTAACTGGTCATGATCTTTTTTTGAAACTGGAACGGGCCGTGCTAAACGGCCCGTTCCAGTATTAAAAAAAACACATGACCAGTTAAACCAGAACGGGCCGTTCTGATTTCGGAACGGCCCGTTCTGGACAGATAGGTCAACATATGAAAATAAACGTGAGCACACATAGATGGGTCATCCAATGCAAGACCCATTGTTTCACACACAATAATACATGCAATGGTACATGGTCAATTCCATCTATTTTCTATCTATGTTATGACTATTATCACAGATCAACATAAATCCTAAACCCTAAACCCTAAACACATTTAACTGTGTATTTCTTAATTGATGAAGCATTGACAAGTAGATACATTTAGATAAGTAGATACATCTTGACACCCTTTCTCATATATTTGGTAGTATAGGAGTTTATATTGTGTTTTGTCTTGTATTATGGGCCTTAGTATAAGACTTTTTGGGTTTTAAGTTTATTGGGCCTAGTTTTGGGCTTCATGGATCTTTGGGCTTTTGATTGCTTCAGAGCTTAGTGAGCCCAATGGGATTGGTGGGCCTAAGGTTCTCTTTACTTGGGCTTTACATGGATGACCACCTTTCTCATATATTTGGTAGTATAGGAGTTTATATTGTTTGGTCTTGTATTATGGGCCTTAGTATAAAACTTTTTGGGTTTTAAGCTTATTGGGCCTAATTTTGTGCTTCGTGGGCCTTTGGGCTTTTGATTGCTTCAGAGCTTAGTGAGCCCAATGGGTTTGGTGGGCCTAGGATTCTCTTTACTAGGACTTTACATAGATGACCACCTTTCTCATATATTTGGTAGTATAAGAGTTTATATTGTTTGGTCTTGTATTATGGGCCTTAGTATAAAACTTTTTGGGTTTTAAGCTTATTGGGCCTAATTTTGTGCTTCATGGGCCTTTGGGCTTTTGATTGCTTCAGAGCTTAGTGAGCCCAATGAGTTTGGTGGGCCTAGGATTCTTTTTAGTATAAGACTTTTTGGGTTTTAAGCTTATTGGGCCTAATTTTGGGCTTCATGGGCCTTTGGGCTTTTGATTGCTCCAGAGCTTAGTAAGCCCAATGGGTAGTATATTTGGTAATATAGGAGTTTATATTGTTTGGTCTTGTATTATGGACCTTAGTATAAGACTTTTTGGGTTTTAAGCTTATTGAGCCTAATTTTGGGCTTTATGGGCCTTCGAGCTTTTGATTACTTTAGAGCTTAGTGAGCCCAATGGGTTTGGTGGGACTAGGATTCTCTTTACTTGGACTTTACATATATGACCACCTTTCTCATATATTTGGTAGTATAGGAGTTTATATTGTTTGGTCTTGTATTATGGGCCTTGGTATAAAACTTTTTGGTTTTTAAGCTTATTGGGCCTAATTTTGTGCTTCATGGGCCTTTGGGCTTTTGATTGCTTCAGAGCTTAGTGAGCCCAATGAGTTTGGTGGGCCTAGGGTTCTTCTTAGTATAAGACATTTTGGGTTTTAAGCTTATTGAGCCTAATTTTGGGCTTCATGGGTCTTTGGGCTTTTAATTGCTTCAGAGCTTAGTGAGCCCAATGGGTATGGTGGGCCTAGGGTTTTAACTAAGATGTCTTATTTCTGAATCTGGAACGGGCCGTTCCGATTTTAGAACGACCCGTTCTGGTTTAACTGGACATGTCTTATTTCTGAATCTGGAACGGGCCGTTCTGGATTTGGAACGGGCCGTTCTTGTCTATTCTTCATGTGTTGTTTTTTCATCTGGAACGGCTGTTCTGATTTCAGAACGGGCCGTTCTGAACCTGAAAACCAAAGTGTGGAAGTTGCGTAAATAGAATTTTTTTGGGTAAATTATTATTTTTTAAATTATTTTAATAAAAAAATTTGAAAATTTAGTGTGTATAATAAGCTATTAGATTAGATGCATCTAATGGTAAAGATTCATGGTACATGGTACACCACTTGGACTTCAGCTTGAAAAAAAAAGGACTTAATAGCAAAATTTTATAATTTCAAATTTAACTTGACATGACACACTTAAATGAAATGTCTTTAAATTATTGGTCCACGTATGAAAGGTACCAAAACCCTTTGAAAAGCGAGGGTGCAATAAACTTTGTCTTCATAATTTCATGCACACAGTTAATAATACAACTGTGAAAATGAGACACATTGTCCATCATACAAGAAATGATGAAATTAAAGAAAATATCCGATTAAGATTAAAATAAAAATAGTGAGATTATTAAGTAAATTAATTAAAAAATAATTTAATAAATTAGTTCAAAAATAAAAAATATAGATATCAAAATAAAATATCTCATTTATTGATATTATAAATAAAAGACTAAATTATTATTATTATTATTATTATTATTATTATTATTATTGAATGATATAATCTTTTATAATATTCCATTGGTTAGCCTATCAATTTTTCAGTTTTTTACTCAAATAATACTATTTTAAAAAAATATTTACCCAAATAGTAATCGTGCAAATTTATTTTCTCAACTAGTACTTTTTAGTGTTCACGTTCCAGAATGGGCCGTTCTGATTCCAGAACAGGTCATTTCAGATTAAAAAATAACACATGACGAATGGATTCGAATGGGCCGTTCCAGATTCAAAAAATGCAAATAAAAAGTAGAACCATAACGGGCCGTTCTAAATCCTGAACGGGCCGTTCTGGCCTACAAATTTAGGTTTTTTTTTCGATTTTTACTTATAAAATACCAAAACTCAGAGACTACCATCAAGTGATTAAATGTTATTGAATGTTCATTTCTTAACATATTGAACCAGAAAGTCATCTTAGAACTCACAAATTTGTTAAAGAGAAGAACCATACTTTTTGTCAGAATCAAGATCCCTAAAATCATAAAGAAAAATAGATAAAGTCACTACTACAATTGCTCTACATTAACATTACTTTTGTAAGCTTCGTTTGGTATGGAAAATTCATAAGTAGCCTCTTTAATTAGACGGTGAAATGCATTTAATGATCGCATTAAATGAGTTGAACGGTCACTTACCATCATAAGGAAAGATGATGAAGACAGACAAAGTAAACTTATGAGTTGGACTGAAAGCATTGCAATGGTCATTTTCTCTGAGCTACTATATAATAAGATTCAAAACTCGAGAAAGTTAGAGACACAAATATAATTTACATAAGAGATGCAATATATACATTTGTACAAAAGCCTTTTCTTTAAATCTATTCTTTCTTGTGAACACACATTGTTTTGTATTGGTTGTATAACGTCTAAGTGAGACAAATACAACCCTTGTGTAACCTTCATAACCATTGTTAAGATTGAGATTTGAGAGGTTTGTCTATAAAATAATATTTATTTTGAGCCTGTAGAGGTTTGACTGTAAAAGAATACTTTGTTATTTAGCTTAGAGGGGTTAGTTGTTAAAAGAATACTTAGGTAGTTGTTTGAAAAGACAAGTCAAAGAATACTTAGGGTTGAGCCATAATTGTCTTGTTGAAAGAATACTTGTATCTTTGTTTAAAGATAATGGAACTAAATTTGGTTGGATTGAGAATTGGACATAATCTCGGTGGTTCAGACGAACTAGTATAAAAATACCCAGTGTTTCATTTGACTCCTCTACATACCCCATTTGATCAACGTTACTACTTCACTACGAAAAACATGTGAGTTTTTGATACACACTATTTAACCCATTTCTAGTTTTTATCTTTCTCCACAATTTATAATGACATTTAAAGTTTCTTTAATTGTAAGTTGCTTATTAACAAGAGTTTATGAAGTTGACTAAGTTGTAAGATATGTGTTGTTTTAAGTTGTATGTAGTAAGTTGATGAAAGTTGTTAAGTTGTATAGGCATGTGAAGATGAGATACATGTTTAAGTTGAGATACATAAAAATTAGAGGAGAGTAAAGTTGTTTTGAATATTAAAATATCTTTTTTTTTTGTGGATATAAGTTATGGTGCTTTAAGAACCCAAGTTGAGAATCCTTTAGTAAGTAAGTTGATTTTTAAATGGTTAATTGTTTTTTAGTCGTCTCCTCTAGGTTTTATATGGAAACACTATGGGATCAGGTCAAGCTATATTATTGATTATAAAAGTGACCAAATGTTGATCCATACAAAGGCAAGGTTGAGTCATATGTGTATAAAGTGACCAATTGAGTAAAATATAAAGTTAAAGGATAAAATTCTTAACTGATTACTAAAAAGGTGCATAGTATTTGGAGGATAGTTGGCAGAATAATTCCATGTAAGGCTTAGATGTGCATGTTAAAGTTGTGATAGACTCACATCCAAGTTGTTTTACCTTGACAATAGTACTAGACTTTCCTAATTTAAGTGGTAAAACTTGATAAATCAATTTAAGTTGTTTACTAGGTACTCTAAGAGGCCTAACATTGTATTTACCCGAGATGGTTGTGATAAGTCAATCATAGTGATTCAGTATAGTCAAACCACTTAAATTGTTCACCTTTGTTGTAGAAGATCTCTATTAATTGATATGTGTAATGACACATTAGTTGTTTATGTGTTGTTTATGTTGTAAG